GTCACGGATGAAGCAAGTAAAGGAACGTGGATCGTCAACGTCATCCTCGGGCGCCGTCTATCGTATGCTCACGACATGTTTACTTCTGGGCAGCAAGTTCCTAGATGACAACACTTTCCAGAACCGATCCTGGGCCGAAGTAAGCAGCATTCCGGTCCATGAGTTGAACATGATGGAACTTCAGTGGTTGACCGATTTCAACTGGGAGATCCATGGCATGATGTACGACGAAGATGAAGGGTTTTTTATGTGGGTTGAACACTGGCATGCATACGAGGAGAAGGCGCAACTTGCCAAAGTGAAGGAAATGCAGAAGCTGGCTCCCATCGAGACAAATCTTCATCGCCATCACAGCATCCAGCATCAGCCTCTCATGTCTCCAGAGGGACCTATTCCCCCTCAGTATCAACAAGGCGCACAATACGACACTCGCTGGGTTCGACCATACATGTCAGAATACTCACCACCGTCTGCGCCCCACAGCGGTCCATCGACACCCGACTATTACACGGCTTCCTGGTCTTTCGCAAACAATGGGCCTCCTGCATATGGTCGCCAATCTTACCATAACGACAATGGGTCTGCGTATTCGGCTCAACGCAACCAGCTGCCTACATATGCTCAAACATTTGGCTATGCCTCTGGTATCACCCCCACCTGGATGTCTCATGGGCCCAACTGTGGCTGTAGCGTCCACGCCAAACACTCAGACTATTATTTCAGTCACTCCGGATACACCATGCAACCTGTGGTCGGTTAACTCGTCATGCAAATTCCAGCGTTCAGCGAACTACGGTCAGGCACGAAAAGTTCTTGAAATACCGATTCCTCGGTACTGTTTTACCACCAGCGATCCTCGCCTCCAGGATTAAATCGACTCATACTGGGCATGAACAAGCAATTGTTGAGGCGCCTGCTTGGGACGATTTCCTACGAGACGAAATTTCTCTAATTGCGTTCATCTAACGACTTTCTACGACCGGCACTTTTCTCGTCTTTCGTTTTTCTGCATCTAGAGCGAGCAACTTCCCCAGAATAGAGCAAGGTTTTCATTCATTTTCAATCATGACGGGGATGGCTGGGCGGGCTTCGCACGGCAGGAAAAGTCTTCAAAAAGTTTCCCCGGCTTGAGCAACTTCTTATGGTTACGGGCTGGCGTCGGGATCAAGGTACAAGGATATCACGTATGGGCTGTGTTTTGTTTCACAAGATTGTTTGCTTCGTCTTACTACATGGTGCTTACGGCGCTCTCTTCGACAGAAACGATGCTAGAAGAGCATGACTTGCACGGATGCTTGCATAGCAAGGCATCCTGGGGATGGTTGATTGAGCTGCGTCATCATTCTTGTAATTAGCTACGCGAAACGAGGGCAGCCGGTCCGGTGAACGAGATTGAAATGCGCACGAATGCTGTCCGGCTAAGGCTTGAGAAGGCCTCTTGAAGGACAGAGTCTGCTTGCACGGAAAACAAGGTCCCCTGCACAGTGGTGTTTGGCACGCCGGGAGCCATAGAACATGGTCGGTCAACGATGTCATGGCCCTGCTGTTCGTCTTTACTTCACGGCCAAGACTCGACGCTCGGATGGATGGGATATACCCCTGATAGACTATCGCTTTGAGCTTTCAAATTTGCATGCAAAGACAACAAAAACCAGAATACAAAAATAATACGATTGACTAGAGATATTATGCTTGCAGCTCGAGTAATGAGGGATCGATCTTATGGCCGGACAGGTGTGAAGCCTGGATATGTATGTGCTGGATTCTGGATGCGGTGAAGTGGCACAATCTCCCGGTGCCAGGCTGCGATGAGTGACGAGTAAGTCACGTGATCGTGGACCTTGTTCCGCCCCAGCGACACTCCGATTTCGAGTGCGAGCTTGCCTGTTCATGTATGTAATCAACTCAAACACGATCCCATATCCCGTCGATTTGACCATCACCTATCCATCTCCTCTTCCCGTCTGCCACATCTCGCGACGCTTGGTCGTCACCTGGAAGCTGTCCCTCAACCAAACCGACTTCGCCTGAGCAGCCCCGAAAATGTCGACGCTCGAAGATATTGATGACTTAGAGCGTGATGAGAAGGAGCAGAAGAAGGACGGCGATGACAGGGACAAAAAGCCCTCGTCGAATGGCGACGCCAAAGACGCGGAGATGAAAGACGCAGGGCCCGACAAGAAGGATGAGGAAGAACAGTACATAGACGACGAGATTCTCCAGTCAAGTACAAGAGACATTATCAACCGGCGGCGATTGCTGGAGAACGAGATGAAGATCCTCAAGAGCGAATTTCAGCGGTTAAAGCACGAGGAGACTACCATGAAAGACAAGATCAAGGATAACTTGGACAAGATTGAGAACAACAGGTGAGTCTGACGCTCCTCGCGATGCGAGTTGGACGGCTAACGTCTTCACCGGGCAGGCAACTACCCTACCTCGTCGGCAACGTCGTCGAACTGCTCGATCTCGATGTCGAAGCCGAAGCAGCAGAGGAAGGCGCCAACATCGATCTCGACGCCACGCGTGTGGGCAAGTCTGCGGTGATCAAGACCAGTACCCGACAGACCATTTTTCTGCCGTTGATCGGCCTGGTTGACCACAACAAGTTGAAGCCGGCCGACCTGATTGGCGTCAACAAGGACTCATATCTCGTCTTGGACACACTCCCGGCTGAATACGACTCGAGAGTCAAGGCGATGGAAGTCGATGAGAAGCCGACGGAGAAATACACCGACGTAGGTGGTCTGGACAAACAGATTGAAGAGCTTGTGGAAGCAGTGGTCTGGCCCATGAAAGAAGCGGAACGTTTCAAGAAGCTCGGCATCAAGGCGCCCAAGGGTGCTCTGATGTATGGGCCTCCTGGGACGGGCAAGACCTTGCTCGCTCGTGCCTGCGCCGCTCAGACAAACGCCACTTTCCTCAAACTTGCGGGTCCCCAGCTTGTGCAGATGTTCATCGGTGACGGAGCAAAACTTGTGCGCGACTGTTTCGCACTGGCAAAAGAGAAGGCCCCATCGATCATTTTCATTGACGAGTTGGACGCAGTGGGCACCAAGCGGTTCGATTCGGAGAAGAGTGGTGATCGAGAGGTTCAGCGGACCATGTTGGAATTGCTCAATCAACTGGATGGGTTTGCTTCGGACGAGAGAATCAAGGTACTAGCTGCCACGAATCGTGTCGATGTGCTGGATCCTGCCTTGCTGCGTTCTGGTCGGTTGGATCGAAAGATTGAGTTTCCCCTGCCGAATGAAGAGTCGCGGGCCCAGATTTTGCGGATCCATTCCAGGAAGATGACCATCGACGAAGGGAACATCAACTTTGATGAACTGGCGAGGTCGACGGATGAGTTTGGCGGTGCTCAGCTCAAGGCTGTTTGTGTGGAAGCTGGTATGTCATGGCCCCTGACCACGACCTGGCAAACTGTTACTGACTATCATTGCGCAGGCATGATTGCTCTTCGGAAAGGCCAATCAAAGGTCAACCATGAATCCTATGTCGAAGCTATTGCTGAGGTGCAGGCGAAGAAGAAGGACACGGTCAACTTCTACGCTTAGGCGTATCACAGCTTCTGTCTGACCAGGTTTTGGAATTGGCGACACATCACCGGACGGAGCGTGTACTATTATCCCAGCATGGGAAAGGCCACAGATGGAGTTTCGTCTTTTGCCAGGGCAGGTCGTCGAGATCTGGGTGGCTTGCCTCTATTCAAGGTTCTTAGGTATAAGAACACTGCCAGACGAACATCTCTCCTTGCTCTCTGTAGCTCTTCTGCCCACAACCCTGATATGTGTGCGGGATCCTTCCTCCTACGCCTCCTCCCAGGCCATGCAGATCGCTACAGTATCCCTCCGGCCACCCATCTTCTACAGCCAGATCCCCACAAGCCTGCAGGAATTATTAGAAGCTGTTCATAACCCTTGCATTGACGAGGAGTACTTATCTCCGTTGCTGCCTCTGCTCCCATTGGCCTGTACGAGACACCATCCCAGTCCCGCAATCTTGGAACACGCCGAGCACGCCCGTCTTCCCTGACCAAGTTTTGCGACTTCCCACCCAAATAATTCGCCTCCATGTGTACTTGGTTGAATCCTTGTCTTTGGCCGTCTAGCACACGTCTGGACCATGCCGATAAGCGGCAGTCCCGATCGCGCGCACATCCTTATGCAAAGCTATTTCTGGAATTGGCGAGAGCGGCTGGCCCTTCGCCTCGCCCCGACATACAGTCTCGTGGGACCGAGCAGTGGCTGATATTCAGACGTCAACCCGGACCAGTTTCAACTATTTCACGTGCCCATGGTCGATAAGTCGACTCTCTCAACACACCTCCGCCCACGACCACGGAGATGGCAGTGGCTACCCACTACGCACCACACGGCCCTTTCGAGCAGCATGACGCTGCCGATGTCTCCCAACGTCCGGTACCTTCCAGAGCACACCATGAGCAAGCGGAGAATGGTACACCCGTTCTACGGACCACCTCCCTCCCAGCCTCGATCCCTTCCCGAAGTTCGCGGTATACCATCGAGCCAGTGTTTTCGATTCGTCCGATGGGAGCCAGGTGGAAGAAGTTGCCATCGTCCATCCTGAAGCATGTGCTTGACCAACTTAGGTGCATGCATCTTGGTCCCGGATCCTCCTCCTGTTCGACCTGCTATATGAGAGACTTGACTTCTATCCAGCTAACTTGCAAGGCATGGTTCTCGGATGCGCAGCGAAGCCTGTGGGTGTGCCCGTCCTCCCTCTGATCTGCGGCTAAGTCGTACAGTTACACCAATATCGAGATCGTAGGCCAAGATGATCCGGCGATGCTTCTGAAATGGAGGCTCTCCCGTGCAGCGCGCCTTATTCGTTTGCGCTCAACGCTCCGTTCCAGGCCGCTTCTCGCGACGTTAGTGAAGACAATACACGTGCCTGATCCGAATATACCTCTGTACGTTGCGGGAGGGAACCCGAATCCAGAGTACGACGCCTACATCTGTACCCTGGCGTCCGTTGTCATGGCGTGCCCGAACTTGGAAGCGCTGACCGGATTCTATTGCTTCTACAACCATACGTTTGACAGGTTGACGCACGCGCTCTCAACAAGAAAACAACTACGGCAACATGCCTGGATCATCGCCGAGAACGACGACGTCACCGCAAGGGGTCAGACTCAATTACCTCCCGGCCTGCTGGACGAGGACCAGTCATATCAGTTTGTGTTATACCACGACCGATGGAAACAGCTTGAAACACTTCTCCTGTGTTCACCTGGGGGACTTGGTGTCATTGAGCATGAACTATTCATCCGGATCCTCCATTCCTTACCGGCGCTCAAGAACTTGTGCGTCTCCTCATTTGATACGGATGACTTCCACGATCTAACGCTCCTTTCGCTTCCTCCATGGGTCACTACTCTCCGGCTTGAGGAGTGCCTAGGCGTGACAGACACCGGACTGACAAGGTGGGCTGCGAGTCCCAATGCATCGCAGATGGAGCGGTTGAGTCTACTACACCAGAACATTACGAGTTTGTTGACGATCTCGAAGATCTTCGCGAGCCTGGATCGACTGGTCAAGTTCACCATCGTGCAGAGCGATGCTGTACCTTCGCTGCCGAAGGAAATGCGGCAATTGGTCGTACAGCCTGTGCTTGCTTCAAAGTCTTTACAATTCCTGCACTGGGATATCTCGCACCCAAAAGCAGGAGCTACTGCCGACCCGGATGATTCGGAGCCGGAAAGAGGTCAAGCAACTCCCAACATGCATCTAGCACTGTCAATATCACATGGCGGCTTCCCCCGTCTACGACGACTACGAGCACCTCGAGATACATCTCCCCTTGGCATCTTGCAGTCCGTGTGCCAACCTCTGCATGGAAACATCACCTTGCCAGGTGATGCGTCTCATTCACACCACTACCGGCAATTGAGGAGGTCGAGCTCTTTGTGTGCGGCTCGTCTGAGGGCTCGAAAAATCGAGGTTCATCAGTCTATCAGTACACGTACACCCGCTTCCAGAGCCGGGAATCGGCTACAAGCTCCTTCAACCGACAGAGATACCCCACGGCCGCCGGCGCAGAAGCCCACGAGTGACTCATCAACATCTACACTGGGCTCTTGGAGAACTGTCGGCTCCAACACTTCGAAAAGGAGCAGCATCACCAATCAAACTGGATCCGGACCCGGACCCGGACCCGGACCTGGACCTGGACCTGGACCTGTCTCGCCGCTTACCGCAAGCCAGGATCACTTCTCTCCACTGGCTCCCGACGACGGCATCATATCTCCCATCGCTGCAGACCAAGACCAGGTGTATCTTGCTGGCGGAGACTCAGATAAGCAAGCAGTCACGGGGCCCCAGAGGAGTAATCGTGGGGAGAGCAGGAAGCGGCATAGTATCTGTCGATGTACCCCCAATCCGACAGGAAATAGGGATAGCATATCCGCGCGCGAGGGTCATGAAGGCCCGCAGCAAGAGCAAGGAGCGGGTGTAGTCCCGCTGCCGTCCCGAAGCCCATTTCGGTCCATACAGACTTATGCCCATAGTCCAACACTGACTCGGTTCCCAAGCCTTACGATACGAACACCCCAAAGGAACCGTCCGGTCCTCTATCTGAGGCCCGACGTACCTGGTCTCGACAGCAATGGAGGTCTGATTGGTTGGGGCGAGCTCCTGAGAATCAGCGAGAAGGCCAGAACGAGCAGGAGCAGCCAGAGAGCACGGGAAGCCACGCGACGAAATTCCAAAGGCAGCCTTGACGAAAACAGCGATGATGATGATGATGATGATGACGACGACAAGGCACCCGCAGGTATGTGTACGGGCTTCTCAGCATGGCACAGTCGGTCAGAAGATGGACTTGGCGACCTTCCGACGTTGAGGAAGATAATGTCTGGATCTTCGGCAGCAAGTGGTGCCTCGTCTGGGACGCAAGGAAGGTCAAGGTCGAAATCCAAATCATCGTCGCGGCTGAGCTTCTCATTGGGAGTGAAAACATCCGACAAGGACACAATGTCTAATAGACGGTCGTGTCGACACGTAGCCCGTCCCAGGGGAGACAGAGGTGGATGTGTGGGCCTTGATGATTTCTTCTGAGTACCAAAGGCATGTAGACTGTAATTCCGAGTAGCACTTCGGCCGGTAGATCTCTGAATGAGCAGTGCACTCTCTTGATCGTCGAATTCATGTCAAAGAAACAGGGCGTTACAGTATACAAGTTGTTAACTCCGACACCTACGAGCAGGCGAGCATCTCGTCGCTTATCACTATGTCCCTTGCGAGTGAGTGCGTCACATACGGCGTCACGGTCTCATTCATTCAGCGAAATGGGTTCAGCATCATCATCATCATCGCTCGCCTCGTCTACAGCAGTGTAGGTTTTTGTTGCTACTGTAATGCCGCCTCCCCATTGTCCTCACGAAGTCTGCCCAGTGATTGTCTTATCCTGCCCCTTGCTCGGCCTTGCGAGACACCGAAGATGCCAAAGCGACATCATAATTCGCGCTCGACGAATGGAATCATTTCAAGCCGAGGGGGAAGAATGAATCTCCTGGCCAATACGAAGTCAACCTCATGTGTATTGTACCATCTTGCTGAGCAAGGTCTTAATGGCGTGAGGTCTGGAATCACGTCCACGCCATGTTCTCGCTCGCCGTGTAGGAGATCGTATATTTAAGAGGTGAGTCTGCATCTGAGTCTGGAGGTGAATGAGATCGAGATATCTCATCGTACTGCACTGCATCGCATCGCATCGCATCGGACATTACACCCACGGCATTTGATTACTGTACAGTATCTTGATATAGCTTCATCATCACCATCGTCCCCTTACCACCAGGGACGAGCAAGGCACAGTAGCCAGAGACCGAGCGTACTCAACTCACAAACCGGCAAAGAATTGAAACAGACCACTCCAACTATCACTTACGGTAATCACTACTCACCAGTCACCGTCACCCATCGGCTCTTCCCACCACCGCCACCACCACCACCACCACCACCACCACCTACGGTCGCCATGGTCTCCCTCTCCGACGTTCACCTCAACAACACGTCCCTCCGAAGTGCCGGCTCAGGCCCCACGGTCGCTCTCGTCGGCGCCACGGCCGGCATCGGCCTCGCGACCTTCCACGCCCTGCTCAAGCACACGTCCTCGCCGACAATCTACCTCGTCGGCCGGGACGCCTCGCGACTAGACGCGCTCATCGCCGCCGCCCAGCAACTGCACCCCAACCCGGGCGCGACCATCGTGCCCATCGTCGTCAATGGGGATGATCTCACGCTCGTGCGCCACGCCGACACCGCGGCCCGGCAAATCGCCTCGCTCACGTCGCGGCTCGACCTCCTCATCATGTCGCCGGGCTACCTGTCATTCCGGTCCACGGCGGACTTTTCCCCCGAGGAGGGCCTCGATCGCATCACCAGCATCCGGTACCACGCGCGCATGCGATTTCTCGTCACATTGCTCCCCGCCCTGCGCACGGCGCCGAACCCGCGCGTCATCAGCGTGCTGGCCGCAGGCAAGGAAGGACCCCTCCGTCTCGACGACCTCGGCATGACCCGCCCGGAGACTTATGGGCCGATCTACGCCGCTGGGGCGGCCGCGTCGATGACGACGTTGTTCTTTGAAGAATTGGCCGCGGGCGGCGGCAACGGCAACGACAATGACAACGACAGGATCGTCTTTGTGCATTTATTCCCCGGCCTGGTCGGGACGGGGCTGCGAGTCATCAATTCCGGGTGGGCGCTGTCCCTGCTGTGGGAGTGGGTCGTCCGGCCCGCGTTCAGGCTGTTTGGCTCGACGGCCGAGGATGCCGGGGAGAGAGTGCTCTTTGCGGCGACGAGTGGGCGCTTCAGACGCGTCAGGCCCGAGGACGCCGACGGCCTGGCCGGCACGTTGGTCCAGCGCGGGAGTACCGGCGTGCTGGGCAGTGGTGTGTATTTGGTGGGAGAGGATTCAGGGGTCGTACGACCCCCACGTGGCACAAAGGGTGATGATGTTTTGGCCGAGCTGAGACGCCAAGGCGCCGGGAAGAAGGTGTATGAGTATACGATGGGGGAGTTTGAGAGGATCGAGAAGATTAGGGGTCAAGAGTGAGAGGGGAGACCATACATAATCAAGGCTCGGTTGAGGCCCCGACGTAGTTAAGTGGTTGAGGAATGAGATAGAGAGATCATGAAAGCGGATTGTAATGAAGTGGATGAAATGAGTTACACTAACTTGAAGCACTCGGTGACAATGGGTTCGCCGCCCTCGAGTGCCTTGCAGTGGTGCTTTTCGTTGTTGGTACTGTATGAAGAGAGCGCGTGCAATGCTGTCGGTATCAATGTCATGCTACACAATCTTTGGCGGGTGGTGCGATTACACACACCAGCAGACATGCCTACGTACTACCTACGTGCCGGCCTTCCTTCCGATCGACTAACGTACCGAGCAATATGAACGGTAAAAGAGTATGTGGAAAGTCGACATCTTCGTCAAGGTAGGAGCGAGTGCAGAGCATGCAGCCTACGCTTGGGACTTCACGAGGTGACCCAATGCCACGGTGTGTAAGGGCACGGACGCTTCCAACATGAGAATTGCTACAGTAGCTCCCGTTAGATCTCGGGGGGCGATTCAAGGATGCATTCCTGCATGCATGCTACGCGGTCCACCCATGGCTTAGACCACCTCAGCAGGAGATCCGGAGGGGACGAACAAAGCAAGAGCGTCTAAGTGAGACCGCGAGAATGTCACAGTTTGCACGATCTCTGTTTTCTCTCGCGTGTAGGTGAAGGTGGACTGGAGGTTTGTCAGGTCGATCAATCCAACGTGGCCTCCTGCGCGAGGTGCATCTCTCGCCAATCTCGCTCGATGATCCCATGATCCAGATTCGCTCGCCAAACGCACAGCTGCCACCGAGGTAGTGGTGACCTCGGCGCGTCCACGTCAAGATTGGCATTTCCTTCCCGTGGCCGTGGCCGTCGCCGTGGCGGTGGCGACTGCGGCTGCGACGACGGCAGATGAAAACAAATGGGAAAGACGAAATACAACGTATACCCCCGGGTTTTATCCGCGAAAGTCTCCCTCAGGGGCCTATACGCTTCCTTGGACTCCAAAACACGCCACATCCTCGGCATGACATTCTCGTCCCAGAGAGGGCGGGACCCAAGCCGCTCGGGGATCGTGATGGTCCAGCCCTTTTCCCAGGGCGCGAACGTCACGGACCGTAAGTTCGGAAACACGACGAGATCGCGCTGTGGGTTCCAGACGTTGTCGTAGACATGCAGATCGACGTCGGTCCGGGCGTCGGTATGGTCATGCGCAACCTCGGCATCGACATTGACCTCGACCTCGACCTCATCCACGCTCAGCCGCAGATGACGCACCTCGCCCAGATAACGCAGCATGGCCATCCTGCGCACGAACGCCACCATCGCACGCTTACAATGCAGTTCCCAGAGCGCAATCTGGACGAACGCGCGCTGGGCCTCGCCTTGCAGTTGTCGCCAGGACGTAGGACTTGACGAGGACGCGGTGTTGAGTTTCAGCAGCCATTGGTGGTCCGCGCGGTAAGGGCCCGTCGTGCTCGAGGCACAGTAGCAGCCTGATTGAGCGGTGACGGCGACGCGGTTGCCGCGGAAGGCGTGCTCAAAGATGCTGAGTCGGATCTCGGCAGGGAGATCGCTCAGACGGGAAACCACGGCTGAGAGGCGCGGGTCACGCGTCTCGGGGGGGAACATGTACGGGCGGGCTGTGAGGGTGTGGGAGTGGGATGTTATTGAGTCGGCCATCACAAAACGCTCAACGGAAAGGAAGTCCTTCGATGGTGGATGCTGTTTAGACGGTCGCCGTCTTATCAGCGAGATATGTACAAGGACAGTGTGAAAGTACGGAGTATGTACGAAAAGGGGGGGGGGGTAGGTGGAAGGTGGAAGGTCACAGTGTGGATGCAAGTGAAGAACCTGTGAGGGCTCGAGGGTCACGAGGTCACGCAGGTTCGACTGCATATGCTGTACCGTAGTTTCTACGGCGACACATCAGCCCGTCTACCAACTCCTCGCTCAGATGCCACGATGCTTACAAGTAGGTGTCAGGCAGCCAGTCAGTCTGGTCTGTCAGTCTCCGCCAGCGTATCTCGCCCAGCTCACCATTTCCCCCATCAAGCTCGCCTCAAGCATGAAACACGCCGGTCCACCGACCAACCATATCATGTCGCCTCTGAGCTCCGAGGGTGCTCGCTCGCCCCCACGCAAAAAGCAATACGAGACAGCCCCGTTCATATCTACCTCCGCGTACGACATCCGCGTACACCATACTAGATATGTACAGAGCACCTCGAGTCTCTATCTCCTCCTTCCGTACGTAGACTTTCTTGATTCTCATCTTGAGCACATGCCTCTCGAATTGCTACATACATACTTGGACATTACTGGCTTCTGGCTTCTGGCTTCTGGCTTCTCGCAACTTGCTCTTGTCGGGCACGAAGGGTAGGTAACGTACGTTAAGTTACTGTAGGTTGTCCCCGCGTTGAGTTTCGGTCTGCATGGCGTGGCGGGCGTGGCGGTCCGTGGCGTTTTCTTGTCTCGGCGAGAAGGAAATTGGAGAGGTGAAATCGGGACATGACAGGCGGAAGAAGAAACACGTCCGTCTTGCGTACTCTGTATGCAGTTCGAAGGTGGTCGCCCAGAGAAATATTGTGTAGGCGTGTAGGCATGTAGTCGTCTAGATACTGTAGTCCGCACTTTACCATGTACTCCGTACGAGTGAATGAATCCGCCTATGGAGCATTTTACGAGGCTACGTCTCTCGTAACTGCCCTCTCTCAGTTTTGCACGACCGTTGACTCATCTGAACAGTCGAAATCTACGCACTCTTCTCGAGGCAGGGACGGTCGTCAGTGTCAGCTGGATGTTGTCCGTGCGCTGCACGTTATGGCATTATTGGTGGACAAGCTACTATGGCACTGAGACTGCGGTTGCCGCATGCTGTCTGACATCTCTTCTAGCTTGGTGATATAGATATAGTACACAGGATGTGAGTAATGTTCAGTAAGTAGGTGAGACAAGTACGGCAGAGACAGACAGAAAACCCGAAATGAACGGATATCGCTTCCCTCTACGCCATACCCAGACGGACAATCAGATTCGTCAAGGCACATATGGTATGCAAATGGTATCTCGTCGCGCGTGAAAGAATATGACGCCCACTCTCGCAGGGACAGTATGAGAAAAGGGGGAGACGGAAAACGGAGCACAAAGCCAGTTACTGCAGCCTCCTATCGCTGTTCTTTTGTAAAGGCCCCCGTTGGGTCACAGCTCAAGTTCACGCTCAAGTCACGTCAAGCTTGTTGTCTACGCCCCTGGCCCAGGAGGTACTGATCCTGCCGCGTCCGGCTGCGTGAAGATGATTTGGCGGTGTGTGGACGTCTCGTCTGGCGGATCGTCTCGTGATAGTCGTCCACGTCATACTCCAACGTCTTTGGCAGACTATCGACTCGAAGGGGCCGGCCTCCGATGGCGGCTTGGGAAATATGACTCAGCACTGCGACACCGTCGTTGGATGCCTTCATCCGGGCAACTCGCTGATTTGGCTTTGCTGACTGTACCTTGACCGGGATAGGAGGCACGGGAGGCAGTCCGCGGTTGGGAGGCGGCTTCGGAGGTCGCTCAGCCGGTGGCCGAGGAAAGTATTTGACGCCCTCATCTGATGACGCGCTGGTGCTGTAGTTGAGGTAGGTAAATGCACCGGTGTCGACCGACTCGCCGAAGGAGAGCCTCGGGTCGACCTGGCTGTCGTTGTTGTGCCAGTTGTTCCAATACTTCTGCTTGGGCGTGTCTTGTTCACTCGACCAAGGCACTTGGTGTTCGGGCGTCGTGAACCCCTCGCGAGTGTTGTTTCGCCGCATCGGTTGCTCGCGGGATCGAGGACTTTCCGCGACGACAGTGTCCGAGTGGCCATCGAAATTGAAGGATAACAGTGAGCTTACGGATGCCGTGCCCGGTGTCGTCGACACGCTTGGAGATGTGTGGAGGATTGGGGACTGGACGATCGGGACGTCGTGGAGAAAACGCTGCTGCTGCGGCTGTGGGTGTTCTGTGTATAGGACCGGTGGATTAGCAGAGGGCTGACGGAGCCTGTCGTCGGATCGGTGCCTCGTCAATTCGCGATCGGAAACATTTGTCCCCCTGATGGGGATGTTCACGTTCTTTTGGCTGCTCTCTATTCTGTGTGCGATCGCGCAGTGAAGTCGCTCGATACCAGCAAAGCGCTGTATATGTTCGCCAATTTTCCTCTCCAATTGCTCGCTGGAAAGACGGGCGGCCGGATCTCGCTCGAGGCACTGCAGGGTGAGCTGCACGACGGACCCAACAGCATGATAGACATGGCCCTCGTCCTTCTTGGCCTTCTTTTCAGCTTCGTTCTGAAGCGACTGAGCCCACAGAAAGACCCGCCCCAGGTTTGCGTGAAAGCTTGCATCCGCGAGTCCACCACCACGGCCGGCCATTCTGTTCTTTGAGGATCGGTGCCGCTGGAACGAACTGTAGCTACGCTTGCAGAGCAGGGTCAAGATGTCCATGATCACGGCCCCGAGTGAGAAGATGTCCGACGCGCACATGTCCTGTTCCACCGATTGCCAAGTCTGCACCACTGCACTCCGGCCTTCTGGGGCCGAGACAAACATAGGACTCTTGAGTGATGGACCACTTTTCTTGCCGTTGGAGCTTGTCGACGACAGAATCGAGGGCGCCCTTCCTGGGACCAGCGGGTCGAAGGCGCGACGCGTCGTACCTGAACTTGAGACGGATTTGTTGTCGGGCGGCGACAACACGTCACGCTCGCGAGCAATGGGCTGCGGTGGAGGGTCCGAAGGCACTGCCGAGCTAAGGCGCAATCTGGCATAATCTCCTCTCGACGTCGGCTGGAATGTATACGTCGCCGCCGACGACGCTGACCTGCTTCTGGCTGGGTTGTTGCTGTCTGTAGTGTTCAATCTGCCATTTCCGCCGGCCCTCCGCCCCGATCGGCCGCCCGACGGGAGTGAGACCACTGCCGAGCCAGTGCTTTGAATGGTCACGGCCCTCTTCCATCTCTCGGGTGGGCCATACTGATATGCTTCGATATCGTCCGGCTTCGCCCTGTCACGGAGCAAGCCTTCACCGTCCAACAAACCCAACGATATACGGAAAGACTCATCGACCTGGATATTGGACGGCCGAATGGCTCCGTGAAATTCGCCGTTGCTGTGTAACCAGGCCAGTGCGTTCGACAGACAGTGGGGCCAACTGATCAGAATCCGTCGCCGCTCTTGCTTTGCCAGCGCACCAAAACTCTTCGGAGAATCGGTCAGGAATGTCTTGAGACTCCACTCTGGGGCAGGTAGTGAGAGCACATTGAAATTGCCTTGATGTAGGTACGAGCCGAAAACCGACACTATATGCTCGTGGCACAGTCTCCTGCTGGCTGCAATCTCGTTCAGAATCTCGTCCTCAGTTAGCGGAGCTTCAAGCTTGATGCGCCTGCGAATGAAGACCTGCTGATTGGCAGTAGGGAGGCGAACCCGGTCGACACCATCGTGGCTGAGGGAGAGAACGACCGATTTCAGGTTGACAGGGTTGATCGGGACGCTTTCTTCGTCGGCGTAGCGGATGTGCTCCCCTTCGCCCACGACGCGAGTGAGGAACTTGAACTGATTCTTATAGAACCGTTTGTCTAGAGCTCGGTCGGGTTCGTAGGACAACCGCAGATCGGGCACAGCCTCCTCGATAACAGGGAGGTCTTCGTCGTCATACGAGTCATCGATCACGCCAAAGATCTGATCCGGGACCCCAGTGGCGACGAGGATGAGGAAGAATCGTTTGGCTCGTGTCAAGATCCAATCCAAGTAGGTATCATCGGTTAAGTCGCCTCCGAAGTACAACTGCCGCTGAAGGAGTTCCTGCTCGTTGGGTCGGAGGTGGGAGTGCACATACGCAGAGGTGACGGTCTCGTCAACACGCTCGTCCGTCCACAACGACATGATGCCAATGAGCAGCCTCAAGGCACAGGAAGACGGAGCATGCGGAGAGGGTGACAGCCGTTGAATAAAAGTTCCATAGTCTTATCGGAGAGCGTCCGGCTAATGTAGGAGATGCGTGGAGCGCGCACGTGGAAAGTGGGCAGCACGAATGTCCAGGGGACCAAGCATACCGGAGCAGGAGGCGAGAGCAGTTCGTCCAGCTCAGATGAAACCGGGGAACATGGCGGAATAGTTCAAGGACTGGAGAACCCCTTGTATCTTTATTGCCCAAGGGTTTAAACGAGGCAGGATGGTAGGTCGCCTGATGTATAGGAGGGGGAGTCGTCTCGCCGCGGCTGTCGCCGCGTGTGCTGGAGATAAAAGAAATCTTACTGCGTGGTAGTTGAAGTGGGGGTATCAAAGTATAAGCCCTACGGGGCGCGAGCCTGAAGGAACCATCGCTTATAACATAAGACAGATATCTTATCTTGGCCAACGGCGGTTAGTGCCAGGGGAAGTCATCATTCGGACTTTCTGCTGTAATAGGAACAACGGGACTTCACGGTGATGTGGAGAACTTGGTCGACAGCAAGGCAGTGAGGCAGTTTGGAACAGTGACAGCGGCACAAAGAAGTGCTGGGCTGGAAGGCACAGACCTGAAGAGCAAGGATTCGAGGAAGCAGTTACGCCACATGATGTGCTGTGTTAGGGAGGACTAGGATGTAAGACTCCCGGAGGATGTGATGATGCTCTTGGTCAGCGCTGTTTGGAACCAATTTCACTGGGAGAACTCCAGACACTGGGGATCATGGATGTTGCCGATGATGTCGACGGTTGAATGCTGCTTAGTGGCGCCTGCACCGGCGGATGATGGGCAGGCTCATGGCAGGGGGCCCTACGGGGGGGTTTCACCCACAGGACTCGCAGAGGCCAGAGAAGAAAGGACAAAAGTTCGGATGCGAGATAGATATTGTAAATGCTGGGCCGTTCGAAGCGTGATAGGTCAATCTAACAGCCTTATCGCATCGGCGAGTGGGATCCAAAGCAATCCCTGTCCGAGGCAAGCTCGGCTCGCATGGCGCCGACCGACTAGTATCGTGCGAGGAGTATCAGAGACGAGTCTCGTGCTTTTGATATACCGGAGACCCTTCTACGAGTAACACAGTAGAGGGCTCAGCACGCAGTCAGAGCGCCGTACTCCGAACAGTACTGTGTTTCTGCAGCTGCTCTGTTGCTAACGATGACCCGGTAGACACTCAGTACTGGAGCGCAAGGCAGACCGGGTCTGTCTTCTCCGGTCTGCAGGATGTGGGCCTACTGCAAGTCGGTGTGCAAAGCAGCGGCAGCATGACAAGCCACCAGGGTGAAAGGATGGGATGCCGCAACGGGACTCTCGCAGCATCGATTGCCTTAACTGTTGAGTGATGTGCGACAGTTGGCCTCCGACATCCGATATTTCTCTCAGCCCATACGAGGACACAGTAGGGAGTACCCAGGACTCGTACTTGTTGACAGGACCAGCAGCAGCACGCGATCTCTCATCACCAGTGTCCGGCGCCAATGCGGGCCTGCAGAAGACGAAACACGGTTTTCCGAATTAGCTCTTCGCCTGACTGCCTCGTATCATCACGGTTGTCCTCCCCGTTGATAGCTAATTTCCATCAACACCCGTGCAGACGTGAGAACATAGCGCTGATGCTCCTGTAAATGCCGATGATGTTGTTGCACGATTGCCGCTCGTCGTCGTGTTGCGGATCTTCGAGCGACCCTGGGTATATTACCGTCCCAGAGCCGCTGAGCTGGCTATTGCCAGGGAGTTCTCAGAATTTGTTACAATCAATTTGGTATCACGATCAACGGTTTTGCACAACGACAAGAAGCTTGAAGACAAGGATTTCTATCACCAAGGGCAGCGCGGGCATTCTAGCAAGTCTCGTCTTCGATGAGCGTTGCTGGTGCCCCGTTGCATACCTCGCCGGTATTGCCAGTCGCTACTTTTCTTTTTCTTGACACAGCTCTGTCCCTCCTGATGGGAGACTTCACGCGCTTCCGTGCTCCTCCATTCTTGTGTCCGCGAGGGGAACAAGCTGGTGGTTTCACCATAGGAGAACAGCACATATATGTAGAGTCTCTGGTGGAAGCGCGCTTTGTACCACAGATGACCTCGGTTCGCAACTCGAAAGGCCTGGGTGTTTCCATCGCGTGCTCACATCACGAAGAGGACGTCGCTCAAGACAGTTCGGCAACTGCGCCTGCACGACCGTGTGTAGAGAGATGCACCGCATTCCACACGGCAGCGCAGCAAGCACGCAAGGAGAAAGGATACGCAAGGAGGGACCGAGCATGGAGGTTCGCTCGGTTTGATAAGCGCAGCCCGTTGCCAAGCCCCAGCGAAGGGGAGCGCAGGCTGAGAGGGATGGAAAATACTGCCCCTGATCGACAGGGAAGGCCATTTTGTTGAGGAACCAGAACCCGTAATCGTACAAAGTATTTTCCGTCACCCGTCAAATGTTTAACCAGTTGCATAGGCGAAGATCGACCGGTATCGCTGGGCGGACATGCAGGTTGATGGACAACAAAGGGCCCCGAGCCAGAACTTTCCCATCGAATCTTCTCGAATCCGATCCTCTAGGCATGGACACCGGGGCAGTCGTACACGGTACGGAGGGCGAGTACGGAGTACTGTGCAGCAGTTGGGCATGCCCATTATGATGCATGCACTTTTACCGATGGGCCTCTAGGCGTGGTTGGGCAGCCGCGAGTGGCTCCTCCGGGGGCAAGCCCCAAGGCCCCTCGGCCCCATAGTTTCTCGCAGGACGCTCCCAGTCTATTTGCGGAGTGCTGTTGCTACAGTAGCAAGCTCAGAGCCACCAGACAGGCCGTTTCAAGCTGCTCACAGTCTACCCAGAACTCGCTTCTGAGATGAGTCCTCTGTACCCATGCAGAATGCCCAAGATGCGATGCCCGACCCCGATCCATGTGCAGCACACCGCGACCTGCGAGCCTGATCGAACCACGAGCCTTCCTCACAGTCCCCCAAGCAGTGTGCTGTAGCTCGCCAAATCCTGCCACCTGTAACAGCTGCCCTTCTCTTCACACACGCCTTCGCAAAGAACACGCATGGCCTGATTTTGACTTCCCAAAGGCCCACTGTGTAGACACGAGTCCTGTATGGGTCCCGCTGTTCATGGGCAAGGACTCCTGCTGAGGGCGCGCCAGTGACAGCACGACCGAAGCTTTCCCTGCTGGCCCTGGTCCAGTGATAAATGGCTCGGCCGCGCATGAGTCCATCGAGGCCTAGAATCGCGAAAAGACGCCAACTGTCATCCTCGACCGTCTCCACCCATTATTGACGCTCCACAGTAATGTTCTGCATCGCCAGGTGCCTGTGCCTAATCCGCTCCTGTTCGCTGTCGGGCCTGTTCAGTGCCCATGTTACTTTGAACTCAAACGGGCACGAAGACGACGGAACTGTACCTGCAAGTGCGCCAACTGGTCTCCTTGGCTGTGCCCCGTCCGGCCCCAGAGCCATCGAGAAAAGTCGCTCGCATCTCGTCGTACATGCTTTTTTCTCGCCCGACACAGCCGAGTCCTTCTTCGACATCTGTCCTTCCTTGCTTCAACTGTCTGTTCGCCGCAAGCCTCCGGTTTAGAAAGGCTGGCCTGCACATTTTCCGCCTGCGACATTCTGCCCCAGTTGCTCATCTTGATAATTCTTGTCCTCCATGCGGGTTGAAAAGCTTCTTTGCTTGCTTCTCTGAGAGCCCACCGACCGGAGAATTCCAGCTCCGCCCGCAGATATCGTCGACGCCCTTGCGCTTGGACGTGCTCCGTCGACAGCTTTGATGGGCTTGGGACGTTGATCTCGCAAATGACCACCCAGCCTCTATCGCTGGACGATGGCTTGCCCGCAATATCAAAACGGCTCCCAGTCGTCCAAGTCCAAGAACTGCCATTGTGTACGCCAATCAGAGAACAAGGCGACGAGATTACGTATGGAGTTGTGGAAGTCGTCGGGAAGTCAGTTGATGGGCTCGACGAGAGCTCGAAGATCATGCTGATGGGCATGGGCTTGAAGAGACCGTACAGTGGTGGCGAACATGACGGACACCGGATTTCGCGGCCTGAGATACGAAGGAGGTCGTCGTCAATAGGATCGCCTGAAGGCGTCAAAATGGACCATCAAGATCACGACAGTCAGGAACAGCTATTTGTGCGCTTGCACAAGACGAGAAGCGTCGACACCGCGAAGTCTTTTGAGGTCAAAATTGAAAAAGACAAACAGAGGGCCAGCAGGCGCGACCTGGTCAGAAATGGCCCATTACCCTCAGAGCAAGCCGCTCTACCCAGCCTGTTAGGACCTTTGCCGCCACGCGGCTGGTACCATCCCTCTCAATTTCTCGGACAAGCTCTGAACGGGCCTTGTGGGATCGTGGCACCTCTAACACCCCCGGATGACCTGGATTCCTTCAAGTGGGAGTCTCCATTTCACACCCAATTTGCCGAGGCCATCCGCACTGTGCCAAACGTCGAACAAAGCCGCCGGCAGGGTCAGGGTCAACACAACCAGACTCGGACTAGTTCTACGTCGCGCCCCTCCGAGATACAAATGCCAGAGCCTTCAGATATGGCAGGGGGCGACTCAAGCAGACCAAATTGGCTCGGGCGGGCGTGCCAGAAGCTTGGTATGCCATTTGAACTTGGTTGTTAGGGATTTACTGACATTCCTTTGTAGTGTCTTGTCTGGGGAACTCGAGCACTCAGCAACAGGTGCAGATGGTTGCCCAGGCCTTGCCCGCGAGACCCAATTCCGCCGACATGCGCCAAGTGATGGACAAAGTAGTCGAAGACATCCAATCTCAATTCACGATACCGCCCTACATCACAATCACACACGCCTATGTTGGTGCTCTCCTCCCCTCTAGACAGCCATTCTGTATTTGAAATTGCGATTGTGATTGGATTGTGAAGAGCAGGATATGCTAACGAGCATTTCCAGTTTCAAGCCATCAGTATGGATG